TATTTATTTATTTATTTATTTATTTATTCATTTATTTATTTATTTATAGTACTTAAATACCTCATCTAACCAAGAATGCAATGATTGCACCATAAGATAGAGGAATGAACCAGATTTTAACTTTATCAGCCTTATTTCTACTGATCGTCAAATATCCATGGTATGTCTTTTGTTCCTAGTAGAAGTTTGATAACATCTTAAGTGCATATAAACGACAATACCATTCAGCTGATAAAAAACCGAGCACATTTGTCCACATTTCATCCGAAACAACGAATACTAGATGCAAGACTAAAATTTGACATCTTAGGCATGTCTCTGATCCGTACCGGTGCTGTCTACATTGTATATACTGATTTATTCAGTGCACCTTTTGCACTGACAATCTGAATACAGCGAAAATTGAGTGTTCACTAAGCCATGGTTGGCTTCAAATAATGACTCCACTGTAGGAATGGTATGCTAATCGGCATAAGGCTTGAGTTACTTACAAGTACCACAACCGATAAAAAAGATGATTGTGAACTTTACAGAAACTAGCATGAAAAAAAAAACTATTTTCACGCCTGCATTTTGCGGTTGTGAATGTACATCAGACAAAACACAAAATTTCTATTTCTGTTGTCACTAGGCAAAATTTAGAGTCAGTTCATGTCCATGCCCTTCCGATACGATTTATTTAAATGAATATCTTCCAACATCCAAGCGGAAGGATGTTTAAGTGAATGCTCTGCAAAAGCAAAAACAATGAATTTTGCCTTTAAATGCAGATCAGTCAATTAACAGTAAAGATTCATTTGAAAATGAAACAATGATCATACAAAAAGGGTTAGTGAGCAATAACGAACACACTGGTAAATGTCACAGGAAGAATAAACGCGCCATAAGCATGACCAGTGCGCTGAGAATACCTATAAGAAATGTTTAGTTTAGTCTGACTTAACTATAATGACTTCGCACACATCCATGTGAAAAATACCATTTAAGTAGGATTTGACAGTATTATGAATAAACAATAGCTAGGAACAGGCAAATGATCTAAAATGCAGTGTATATGAATCAATCCGAAAACTTCGAAACTTTTAACAAATATGATCACATTGTGTAATTAAACCACTTTATTTAATGCGAAATTCCTGAAAAGCCTAATTAATAAGTAAAAGAAAAATTGAAAAATTACCCGTGACGGGTAAAGTGACAAGCCAAGATAATGATATATTCCGAAAAGTAGACCACTTTACAGAATCAACGGCCTGTACCATACCAACTGCAACCACACTACCAACCTAAAAATTCAAAACTGCCATAAGCTTAACACAAATGCAATTTTACAACAATGAAGATATACTCCTCGCTAATGCCTTTATCAATGCAATTTATACAGTATAAGTGGTTTTAAATTCATTTCGACAGAAATAGCTTCGAAGAAATAGTTCATGATTTAACTGAGTCAAAGTAAATTAAACCTTGCATTGCGTGGAGCTTATTGGAAGACCATACTTGCTAGAAATTAATACAGTTACTGCAGCACCGAATTCGATTGCGAAACCACTATAAGTAAAGTTTCAAATAGAAGAAATGAAACAGTTAAAACTCTATTAATATTTTGAAATGGAAAGGATTCGACTAAGTAAAAAAAAACCAGTTTCTTACCTTGGGGGAGTTATTTTGGTAAGATTTTCTCCAACTGTATAAATTACTCGATGTCCCAAGAGCCAAAGGCCAATGCACATACCACCAGCACCATAGAGCAAAAGCCATACAGGAGTCGTAGACTCTTGCATCACAGAATTCTCCTTATATATAGCATATAACGAAACAAGTGGTGCGATTGCGTTACTAAACATCGAATTTTTAAATAAACTTACAAAACTTTACAATGAGAGATTCTTTTTTATGAGTAGATCTAAAAAAGATAGCACAATCATATACATCGAACTAAAGCACAGCAAACATTGCTCTGACAAATAAATATGCAGAAAATCGGTAAAGCCTGAATTTGCATGTTTTCGACTAAAATGTATGGGAATTTCAACTAAAATAACTGTACCTGACATCATTCCCACCATGAGCGAAACCGACAAAACAAGCTGTTAGTACTTGAAGGAAACTGAATAACTGAGACACTTCTGGATCTTCTGATTTAGACGACCGAAAAAAGGTACTAAGCACTTTTTTTGTTGTTTTTGGTACAGCACCTGTACCAAAATCATGGTGCTCATTGTCAATCGTTTGCTGGTTCTTAAGAACCATTTCAACTTCTTTTCCAATTTTAGGCGCATTTTCTTGATTGAAAAGCTTATTTGATGTTCTGATTAATGGTCGCTCAAGATAATTATTCAGTTTCAATGTTTGATGCTTTCCATTTTGGTAATGCAGCAAGGAATGTGTACCTAGAAACACATGTTTACTTTCCTTCAGTTCCATTCCCACTGATTTATTCTCTTCTATAATGAATGAAAACAAACACCATATACTTTCAAGCAATGAAATGACACATTTTTTAATGAAGCATACTTTGAACAGATAAGTTATCAGTACTTGAATTAAAATTAAAGATAACTGTTCATTTCAAATCAACAAGTTCAGCTCTAACATGAAAAACTAAATTATTTCAACCTTAATTCTCAGTTTTAGTCAATTACATTTTCTAACTAAATCTATGAAGATGGTCCTTCTAAATCCTCGATTCATAACTTAAATATTAAAAAAGTTACAGAGGGGGAATACATGTTACCTCGTTAGTGATGAAAAACTTTTAAATCCATTTTCGTTATTGTAATGATATATTATTGTAACTTTAGTAATTATACTTCAACTTATAGTTTTTGCCTCAATATTTTAAAAGATATTAATATATTCATACAATGATATAATAGATCACTCAAAAAATTGATCTTGAAAAATTGCGACGAGACTGATGAAATGTAAAGGATTGACGATATCCGAATTTCTCACTGCTAGCAAGAATAAAACTATGAGTTACCACAAAAATGAATGCTATGAAAAGAAACAGATTTTCCATTTCCTTACATCCTACTTTATTCTAGTATTTTTCTTTACATCACTAGCAAAAACAGCAGCTGTTAAATTACTTCAACTTGACAAACTTTTAAGAACCAAAAAGTAACATGAACTAAATCTGAAAAATATAATTTAAAAAACGTGGGGTCTACAACCACCGTATTATGCACAGTTACAGAAATTTACCTAAAATGCGTTCCTTGAGTCGTGGAACCATGATGAAATACACAAGTAAAGCAACAGCTGCTGCGATGATGAAGGTAGTTACAAGTACAACCCATGTTGGTAATTTGTTGAAGCCCAAAACTGTAAAAACTGATTATGAAACCAAAACTTTAACCTACTTCGACAGTCGAGAATTCAATTTTAAAGAAACCATACTTTAATAAGATGGCACAGCAACTACGCTCAACTCATACAAAAGAAAGTTATTGCTGCTTTACACTAAGTTGTTGGAGAAATTTTAAGCTTACTATACGAAAGAAATAAACATAGAGAAAGAAGAGAGAAAGAAAGGACGAAGTCTCTCCGAACATACACTCTGAACCGTTGTACATCACAGCGAAGATGTTGACAGCAACACAGATAAAATAGAAAATGGGTAGAAGAATCAAGCCACAACGAAGAGGGAATTCACGCCGCAGTACGGCGTGATCGATGAACAAATAAAACGCGATTGAAACAAGGCCCGAAAGTAATGGTGATATGAACCATGACATAACTGAAACAGAGTAGAATGTAGATAAAACATTTAATAGTACTTTACAGCCGATATCATATTCTTGTAAATTTTTGTAATGACCATGCAAAAAGTAACATTTACGACACAATTTTATGTCACCAATGCAAATGAAACTTTTCTTTCGCTTCAGTTGTCACATATCCTTTTTCGCACAACACTTAAACAATGGTACTAAATTCTGAAATGTGATTTCTGCATCGAATGAATTATAAAGTTGTAAATGAAAAAAAGCAAAATGAATATTATAAGGGCCTAGATGTAACTAAACTTACATATGCGGATGACAGGATTCCAACGTATTCCTCGCGTTCCACGCGCTAACAACGAATAACCAAGCGTCGCTCCAACAATACTGTGTGTCGTTGACACAGGTAGTTTCAAAAATGTTGCAATCAGAAGCCATGCACCACAACCTATATAAATCTTTTTATATAATTCCTTCAAATAATCCCGAAATTTTGCTGCAACTTTCCAATGAATCGAATGATATTTGAAAGAAAAATAAACGTGAAAATATGTTGGGAACTACTGAATTTCTGATGTAAAAATTTTAGAACTAATGCTATTTGCAAAATTTTATATTTTGATAGTTTCGACGGTACCTTTAAGAGATTAATCACTACCTGAAAGTACAGAAATTTGTCCAAGCATAAGCTCATTCTCGCTGTTATTGTAAACAGTCAAATCAATTACACCTTTTCGCATCGTATCTGTCACTTGATATCCTAGCAAAGCTGCTCCAAGAGTTTCAAATATTGAAGCTAATAAATAGGCTTGTTGAAGTGAAAGTACCTAAAAATATGAATTAAACTGAGCAGACAATTGTAACGTACTTAAAGCTTGCAGACATATTTGCATTTATCTTCACTCCCCTAGTTCAAGTTTTCACATAAAGAGGAATTTAGGATCTCATGCAATCAAATTACTGGAAGTCTTGAATTGCGCCAAACAAAAACTGTCATACCTTGCTTCCTACGCTTGTACCAAAAGAATTAGCCGTATCATTTGCACCAATCGCAAATGCAAGAATTGAGGCTATGAGAAAACCCACAACTACCGTCCAGAACATATCATTTTGAAACACCTCCAATGGTCCCTGCATTTCACACCTCTCCTCGTCTTTGACAAATGAGCAATCAATTAATGTTGATCTTTTTTAAACCTTATTTTGTCCAAACAGCAATTCCCAAAATTGAATATTTAAAATACAACATGAATCAGCAGAGAAGAAAATAAAAGGCACCAAATGATTATATACAGTTATATATTAATCTATTCAATAATTAGATAGGCGATGCGCCTAAAAAGACGCGAATTCCGTGTACACTAACGCAATTTCTTATATTAGAGCTTCAACTCGTACCCCCTGCAAAATCATACATTACAGAATCACATAATTAAACAACAACCTTACCCTCCCAATTTCATGTTCTCAGCTACAGTAGTATTTGAAATGGTAAATGTCATCAATGAAATTATATATTATCATATTAACAATCAATTTAGATTTGTAGGTATTTACGAAACAGCAGTGGAGCCAGAAAAAGCGACTCCGAATCAAACTTCATTCGTCAGCTAAGTTAAAGATAGAAAAGATTGAAAACGACCATAAATTACTTATAAATCATAAGGAGAAAATCAGCTATAATAATAATAGTGGTATTGACAGGTCTGTCGTCTGGTAAAAATGCTACATAGATAGATGAATGGTATACATTGTATGAATGAGTGAAAAAAGGAAAGTTAGGAATACACTGCATAAGGGTTATAATTATGCAAATTTTTCAGTTTCAAGAGCGAAGCGTTCAAAATTCCTATGGGAGTTGTGAAAATTAAGATGCATAAGAATGGAATCTATTAGACTTAAAATTATGCATTCGCGCTAACAAGCGACACAGAGAGTTAAATGACAGCAAATGACATTTCACCGACACTGCTCATCGGTCCATTAAGGAACTAAAATGGTATGACATTGCAGACACTACAACTAAATGCTGGTATCTATGAATATATCTGTTCTTCATAACTATTAAAGTGTTAAGTGAATCTAGTGATGCCTTGTTACAGGTTATCTCAAACTAAGTCTTAAATCTTAGATTGTAAGTTACCTACACGGCTAAACTGCTTACGTCAACAAATTGTTTCACGAAGTGAGCATATAGGATCTCAATCATGGTTTTTATAACACAGTATCTACACTGTTTGCATACCTATTCACTATTTTCCTTCAATGAAAGTATTAATCGTTAAATGCCTAACTCATTAAATGAAATCACCTTCCTCAATGTTGATGACGAAGAATAAATACTGCAACAAAATTCCCACAGGTTTATGTAAAGATTTGAAAAGAGAGACATCTTGCAGTTTATTCCAAGGGAGTTTGCGCCTTTGTTTTGTGTCTAAGCAAATAATAGCATCAGTCAAAATCATAATTACATGTATATCAAACAGTATATATACTAATATATATATTAGTAATTGCGTTTACGAACCACCAATTGGCAACAAAGTGTTATCAGTGTTCAATGGCAACTAACGTTATCACCACAACATCAGTACCAAAAATAAGCTGCTGAAAACTATATTGCCATTATCTTTGTTCCACAAGCAATAAGGATGGAAAGAAACAAGTATTATGATATGAATTTTCTCTTCATTGTAAACATAACCAGGTCTAAAAAAACTGTCAATGGCATATTTAAATGACAGAATCAAACCATAACACAAAGCTCATTATGTCAAGTGCAGACTCAGATGACACACTATGTCAAGTGCAGACTCAGATGATACACTATGTCAAGTGCAGACTCAGATGATACAGTTGATGTGTATCATCTGCAAAGAAGTACTCTACATTTAATACAGAACAAAAAAACAATATGTTAACAACTACGACACGTTGATATCATGAACAATTGCTTCTAACACTCATCAAATACATTCCAAAGGCATAAGACGGAATCTTAGACTTTACCTACAAAACTTGAACACATCAATAAATTCATGGTAAACTGGATTCGGTTCAGAAAAAGTACAATTAGCGAAAATGAATTCGAGAATCTGAGTTTCGCTTACCTTTAAATATATTATAATCAGAGAAATACAGAGTTCAGAAATAGCAAATGCAATCACTTGCTTAGAAGAAGCAAGAAATACTAGCAATAGAAGAAACCAAAAAATATTGCATAAGACACTGAAAGGGGAGAAAAAGTGCGGCACAGGGCCTATGGAATGAAATGAATAGAGAAAATGTGGCGATGGAAAAAGAGGCGATGAGAGGAAGATAGGAGTATAGTTCCAATAAACACGTAAAGCAGAAATCTATCCGGAATAAGAAGTGCTTTGCTAAGAATGATGAAACGTCTGAAACGAGACGGGTGATCTGTTACGGAAAGGGAGGCTGGGAAAAAGAGGGAAAGGAAAACCGTCTGTGGTACTCATTCGTATTATCGTTCTTTCCATTCAAAAGACACTCTCTTAGAAAATAGCTGACAGTCTTAGAAATAATTAGAAGACGAGAGAATTCGCAGAAATATTAGAAATTCATATCTAGAACCTTCTATCTCACCAAGATGAGAGTTTATTTTGGTGAATTCCAGTTCGCAAATCTGTGATCTATGTAAGTGAAATACTGCTGTACTTGATAAACAAGTGAATAGCTTATTTCAACCCTGTTAATACTTGACATTTTGTTTAATGGGTCAGCGATTGAATTAAAAATTCATGCGGAATATGAATTCTTGACATTTTTCAGCACAGGAAGTTAGCAACATTGTATAGGCAAAAACAAGAACTGATTCGCTTAAAGTCAATTTTCAGGTCTTTCTGTATTGCATTTGGAATGAAAAGTGTCTATATTCATAACCGATACAGTCTCCAAAGTTAAATAAAGATATGGATGTATCTGTAACATTAGTACAATTGCTTTGATTTTTTTTTCTGTAAGTTACGAACGTCACTGCAAAAGTTCGCAAACGAAACGGGGGAACTTAAAGCTCAGTTCACTGCATGAAAGTATCAGGATTACAGGTTCTTTGAGCTAACTGCATCTATTGTCATGCAGTTGCAATGAAGACTAAAAATTCAGACTCATAAGGTTCTTTCATCATTTTCAAGCTTCTCGAGAAGAAATTATTCTTTAAGATGTTTTTATTTTTTAATTTAGTACTTGTGGTAAATTGCGAACAAAAAAACTCAAAAATTGCGATGATATATAATGAAAAAAATTCTGACCCGAAAAAAAAATTCTGAGATATCCCGAATCTCATAGAGGAACATTTTCCTGTTTTTAGCATTCAGCAGTATAAGAGATTTTATTGAACATGTAAATAATAGCCCCTTCATCTTCACACCATCCTCATAGTTGGAACTCAAATGTATTCATAAACAGACACAACTTCATACATGCATACGATAGATGTATATGTATTTAGCTGTGTCTGTTTATGGATACACTTAAAATGTATGGCCCACATTGTATATATTGAGGTCATACATCTTGATGAACATCTGTTCCATCGACCAGTTCGGACCTCGACTTCGAGGTTTACATTTCGGCAAAAACTCAGAAGCGCTTAGTTCTCTAAATAATGTATTTATCTAAGTGTACATAGGAGATGTTATGGGTTCAGGTACACAACCGAACAGTTTATGGTAGTTCAACATTATTTCTCAGTGGCTTTTGCAAAAATTACTGCTTGTATATAGTGATAAACATATGCACTGCGATTTTTAGTACATATTTGCTTTCAAAAGACAAATTTGGTAGTGTGGTCTACAGTTGTAGCAGCACATACATGCCAACCAGTACACTATCACAGGCAATTCGGGCTTACGTTAAATAGTAGAAAAAAGTATATGAGCTGTAGATGTGTCTGCAAGAGAAGTGAGGAAACAAAGATGAATACAAGTGAATATAAGGAAAGGAAGCTGATTCCTGTTGGCTTCCTGTTTCCTTTTTCTTCTCTCGTCTTTCGACAAACAACCAATGTTCGAATAGTGAAAAATGTCACCATTTCCTTACCGATTATGCTGATATGCAATTCAACTTTTTTGCAAACAGCAGTTTATAATGTAGGTGATTTTCAAAAATTTATCTACCATCCCAAACTTCAGTACTACTAATAATGAGTCCCATAATTCTGCTGCTACGTAATAAGAGCGTTAGAAATCTGAAGATCTGTTTAGAAAATATTCTGCCAATTGCTCTTTTTACTTCCATTTTTTGTAATTTTTACATTCGCATAAATGTGCGAAAGACATAACCACATGCAAATTGTACGCCTGTATGATTAAAAAAGAAGAGCTGCAATGAAAAATTTCCATGCAATGAAACTTCAAACATTTTCAGGTTTTGATGTTACTCGTTTGTACTTTGCTCTTTGAGCGAAGAGAAACGAAACATACTAGGAGGACAAATAAAATGAACAGTCGTTTCCTCTCCCCTCCTCAACTTGATGTATGAAAAAACGCAGGAAAAGTTTAGTCTGTTACCATGAAAAAATGCATGCATGAATAATGCAGAAGTTTCCAGATAAACAGTGCGTCGTTTTTCATGTCTGCTTTAGATTTTTTAAGTTCATACACGACTGCACGCGAATTATGCAATACTTCATTCTGGAAGAACCGAAAAATTCTAACGTTCACATATCATTATCTTACATGGCTAAAAGAGGAATTGGTCTCAAATTACACTCAGCTAATGGCCAGTACATTGATATTCAAAGTTACTTCTAGCATTGTTTTACTAGTTTCATTTGGTTAATAGTAAACTAAACTAGAAAAATAAACACTACTATTGTTAGCATATGTGATTTATGAACTGATTGCCTTACTGAAATATCCAGATCGATTTAAGCTGATAACTTCCTCCATTTAAGTGATGGTAAGTAACGAACTTGTCTAAAAAATTGGTTCCATGGTTCTTCATTGATATGGGTAAAATGAAAGATAATTCCAGTTTTGACGAGTAACGATCACTTTTTTAAACTCATATCTAACCTTAAATAACTCTGATAAGAACGAAAACAGATATGCTGATCTAGCAGTTTCATGAAGCAGTGCAGCTAATTGATTTCTTCTTTCCTGCTGAAATAAATCATACTTAAGCATTATAAAGTTTGTCGAAGCTTTTTCTATCCACTTTCCCACATAAATACCTAAAATTTGACTGAAGTAATAGCTGACATATAAATTGTTTCAAACTGAAGAAAATAAAGTTAAGGAACAAGTAGAAGGAAGAAAGAGCAAGAAGTTTTTCATATCAGCAGTTGACAAATATAATTGTTAAGTTGGATGAAAGTCGATATTCTACTTTTATGTTTCAAAGTAAATAAAAATTTTACCGTCAAACATTGAACGCATCTCATTATTTTACGTAGTAAAGAAAAATGAAATAACAAAGCTTGAGATCAAGTTGCTGTATGCAGTTACATAATTGCGGCAGCTATTTTAGAAGCACAGTGTAAAGTGAAAAGTGATGAAAAAACTGTACAAATGTTGTTCGTTGAAAGAGAGTAATTTGTTGAGGGAAATAATAGCTATGATAACGGAAAGGAAATAAGCTGATGACACGATATAAGAGAACTTCAAGTTTTCACTTGTAGTGATTTGTTATTGAGTATTAAATAAATAAACAGTAAAGAAAGATGCGGCGGTCTTCACGGATATCTGTGTCAAACATTCCATGAAAAATAATTATTGCAATCAAAAAGCATCTGAGATCAGCAAAGCAATCAATATACACAGAATAGTGCAACTAGCAACTATACATTTATAAAAAATGTCTCACCACTTGCTAGCTGTCATTTGCAACAGTATTCACAGATGTAAAAGCGAAATTTGAGCGTGAAAAAATTATTTTCTAATGATATTACAAAGAATACGGTTCTATTGCGTCATACGCTACATGATTTTTTATTACACTGAAGTTAAAATCTTCTTTTCCATTTATTAGTAGTGACAGAAATCACTTCAGATACGTATATAATGCACTTTACAATTTTTATCCGTATTTGCAAGAGCCATTTTTATGCTTTTATTCATTTTCATTGCACATTCTTTCATCTTGTAAAACTAGTAATTGGAGGGTACTCGTGATTTCAGTACTTTTATATAGTGATGCATGGAGATGATGTAGTTGGGATTTACTTTGGAAAGTTATGAAACTGAATCAAATCATCATGGTACCATGAACTGCTTCATAGTAATATAACTACGAAAATCAATTTTAAGTATATAACCGAACATATTTCTCGAAGTTTTGCTATTTCCAACTAGCAACAACACCTGATCTAAAGCACCTTTACAAGAGAGTCAGAAAAACCAGAATAACTGTTGTTTGGTAATTCTGTAATATGTTGGGAATACAGTGATGCACAAGCAGAATTGTAGCTTCTTTAGCATGTCTTGTTTTTGATATATTGATGATGCAATTTCTTGCGCCAAACTAATACATGAATTAAAAACAATAGCTAAAAGTACATAATGCTTGCTGTTTAATTTTTAGTTTTCACATTTTTTAATTTTTATTTGAAGCACTTCTTCAGTAACTACAACGATTTCCATGACAACGGTTGTTACACTCGTAGCTCAATACTAATCCTGGCTTTGTATTTCTGATATGTATAATTTGTCTCAAACCAACAGAAATTGCTTATAATATATATCTACTCTTCTGCCAGAAAAAGCTGTTCAACAATAAATAAAGTAAAGAGAATAAATCGAAGTTTTCAAAAATCTTTTTATACATTAACCGATTGATTAACAAGTAAGATTTACTTATTTTATTAGCAGAAACTGACTCTTCTTATTTTTCATATGAGTACATGAAGCACTGCATTTTGCCTATCTAAATAAAAAGTCATTGCAGACACTATTTCATGAAAGGCATACAGAATTCGGGAATAATGTCAGCCTTTCCTAAAAACGGTATATTTTAAGTTGCATTATTCATAGTATACACCATCGTACGGTTATTTGGACTTTCAATTGGGAAGTGAAACAAAAATAATATTTCAATAATATACAATAATATATAAAAATAACTTATTTCCATTGTAATAGAGCTAAACAATTGAAAGAACAGCTGTAAATTACAAAGCTTCATAAAATAATATTGAAATCTAGCAAATTGATAACTGCTTGCAATATTTGAAGTTTTCACTGATTTCTATAACTTGCATGATTTTCTGGTGAATTACTTCTTAAAATGCTAATAGCAAGTTTATCAGTTAGTCAGTAGTTACCAAATAGCATTACAGTAGCTCCATCTTATTCAGCGATTCGTTACGGAATACTGCGAATAACACCAGGCTCATTGCGGTGTAAACTGTACTGTAGAGGCACGAACTGCAAATATTGCTCGTGGAAGTCATGGTCTACCAAGCAACAAGCCATCCATGGCCTTTACTCTTCATGGTTCCCTCTAAAAAACGAGCCAATTATTACATCAAACTATTGCAAATTGCAATCATCATCAGTTTAATCTTTAATGGTAATGTATTGCTTACAGACATTTCATTTTATTTCAGGATAACCAAAAAAATCATAGCCATGTCCCGGCCAACTGTTAAGACATTTGCTGTGAATAATCTAATTACTCAACTGCATAGGTTTGTTTTATTTTAAATTTTTAAATTTTATTTAGTTTTTAATTTAATCTGCCAAAAATTTTCAATATTTGTGATTGCCTCAGAACAAGTATATGCACGGTCATAAGTCTTCAAATGCCCGGTGAACATGAGTCTTGTGGGCCAAAACTACTTTCATCTGGTTTTACATACAATCCAGAAGAATTCATGCAGAATGGAAGTGAGTAATAAGTAATAGAAAGTGATCCCTTATTTTTATTTGTATGATATCAGAAAGATCTGAAATTTACTACAGTTCAGTTTATAAATTTCAGTTCAGTTTTACAACTTTGTTTGGCCTGATTTTGGTACGCTTGGAATCGAAATGCTCCTAGATATCGTAAAAGTTGTTCATCTTTCATTAAAATTAGGTATTTGAAGAGATCATGAAACTTCAAGCTAATTAAATCTTTGTTGAATGAAATTTTATATCTTATTTTGATTAGCCTTTTTGATCGTTACATTTAATCACTAAGAACTATATTTAGGAAAAGTAGCTATACACTGTCATGCTGGTCTTGGCCGAACTGGTGTTGTTATTGGTGCCTATTTAATTTGGGCTAAGAATTACACATATGCAGAAGCCATTGGTTATGTTCGAAACGCTAGGTGCAAACAAACTTCTAAGAGACTAGATCAAAACATGTATAAAACAGTAAAGTTTTAAGATTGAGATTTGCAATGATCTCTGAAATTCTAATAGCGAAAATGCACACGAATTTGAAAGGTACCGGAAAACAGTGTTAAAATTTGGATGCGTATTCATGAAATACTGTTAAACAGAAAATTATCACACACACTTAATGAAGCTATTATTTGTATCAGGCCAAATTCAGTTCAAACTAAAAAGCAGATTAATTTGATGAGGAAGTTTGAATTGTATTTGGAAAAAAATGGTGCAGCTTTGCCAGAAGCAGGAAGGATGCATTTGAGCGACTATCTGAAAATACAAAGGCAAATTCTTTCAAGTGGTCAGGCTCGAAAGTATCATCATATTCCCAAAGTTAGAAATTGGTCTTATATTGCCAAAATAACTTTTTTACGGAAAGGAATTACTGGAAATTTATTAATTAATTTGATTTGAAATATGCAGTAAGAACAGAAGTTTTTATTTTTTGAATTATTTGCTTATTTTGTGCAGTAACTTACCATGAGTGTAAGGTGTTGCATGCAGCAATGAAAGAGTTGCTACTTGCCGTATATGGCGAACTTAATGGAAGAACAAGAAGATGGATAACAGATGCCTTGAAATCTGTATTACCATTTGATCAAGAATTCCACAAAAAGGGGACACTTCATTTACCAGCGCCAGCGTTAGTTCTTTGAGTTATACTTTGGTTGGTTGGAAAGGAAGCTATGAATTCTTTTCGCAAGCCTTTTAACTTTCCAAATGGCTCACTAATTAATGCGTATAAATTCAATATTTATTCATTTTTACCTGAAAAAAATACCCCGAACTGTTCAAGCAAAAGCAAGCAAAATGTTTATGTTTATGTTAGCCAGAAAAAATTGAAATAATAATTTGACTCATGATGAGTTAGACAACATTTTTTACGCATTCAGTAAAACTAAATCAGAAGAACTCGATATTTGTATAAGTGGAGTGATAGAGAACGGGAGTGAAGTTTTGAGTTCCAATTATGCAAACGGAAAGAAATGCTCCAACAATACTTTCAAAATAAATAATTGCGCGAAGTTTATACGGTCACGTTTTCGTGGGAATATGCTACAGTTGGTCAATATAATCGACAGGCTGATGAACTCCATCATTAAGCCTGTCATTCCAAAGGAATTTTTAGTTGATAATCCTTGGCATACGAGCGAAGACGTGGTTAGTTGCAGAATTAACCTGTTTCTTGTTTATGATAACTTCACTTCGACGGAAAAATAATGCCTATAGTTGGTTTAAATGAAATAAATTTTCAGCGATAATACATTATTGTATTTTCAATTAAATGCGTTATTTTAGGATTGGTATTGTCTCCATCGTTATCTTCTGCTTACAATGGTGCCATTAGGAAATGGAAATCACAAAAACATTGGAAGATTAATGAATCGCTGGTATTTAGGTAAATCAAATATTGACTATTCTGATGAGTTTATTATTGCTTTGCACAATCAAGTTTCACGAACTTGATTGTGCAGAGTGGCTGCGAGTTTGATGCAAACAGTAATCTGTTTTGCTTCAGCTTTTTTTCAATAATGCTTGATCACATCTATATCTCCGTCTGCAAACATATGTCTTTAATTAGTATGAAGCCACTGACTGTTTTAATCAGTCAGTATATCATGAAAGTTAATGAGCGATCTCTTCGTCAATCATTCTTCTTTATACACCCAACCCCAAGATTTTGTTTCACTGTAACTTAATTGTTATTATTGCCGTATTGATGTAACGGAATAGAATTCAACATTTATTATAGAATTACGCAACACAGTAATTGAAACAAACATCGATTTGCTAAACACAAACATAATTAAATATTTGTTAGACTGATTATTATTTACGGCAGAACTTTAAACGATCACAATGTAGCAAGCTTATATTTTTTAATAATATATTTCTAGACTAATAATAAATTTATTTACTGCGGTTGAAAAATAATTAAACATGGGAAAGGAAAAAATCTTGCCCAATAAGATCAATGAAAGTTAAAGTCTTGAAGCATGTGGTAAAGAATTTTCCTGCAGCGAATTCATTAGCCTTTCTTGCTGCAGCCTGTAGAGAAGAGGCCATGTCGAACGTGCATCATTGTTGATCCTTACATATCCATCTGCGCCGTGCGCATTGTTATAAAGCATTGAATCACACATTCGACGTGCTAAAATATCATATAACATTAAACATGGTAAATTAATAGGAAAAAGTATCGCAAATTATTACATGGTAGATTAAAACTCATAGCATAAAATGAAATGAAATAATAGATGAAGCAACACATCGTAGAACTAAACAAAAATTAATAAAAATTTATCAGCTTTCCTCAGTTGTTTGCTTGCAGTTTTAAATTACAGAACCATTATACTCCGATCAGTTTTCATAATTAATTATTATGAAATGAAACTTTCTAAAAAAATAGAATTCATTTATGCCCTATAAATTATTTGAAATTAAAAATTAAGTTTGACAATTGTTAATAATTGTGAATGTTGTTAAACTTAACCCTACTACTTCTGATTTAATTCCACTTCATAAAAACTAATTATGTTTTCTGTTAACCAATATTAAGAAAGAAACTAACCATTTTCTATGATTTCACTTTCATTCTCATCATTTCTGTTACCAAAATCAAAGTCTTCCATGCTTGAAACCTAAGGAAAGAAAGGTGCATTTACAAAATCTTAAGTAATGTGAATGAGAAGTTTTGGTTTTTCAAGCGAATCGTCTGTCAATAAATTATTAAAATAAAACACCCTCATTTGGAGAGTAAATAGCAATAATAGAACATCAAATTTGAAAACTTTTGATATGAATAGTCAACCTCATGTAAAGCACTGATCAGCGTATTAACTCTGTGCGCAACCATTCCACATGTCTGAACTATCAATATCGACAGCAAACAGGCAATGATAACTAATCCAAGAGGTTCTACTTTGAGTGGTTCATCCGTAAGTTCGAATTTCCCTGTCTTCTTGCTCAATTTCAACCATTCAAAACCTTCTATAACTCTGTGCGTACAACGCTTATTTTTTTGAATATTTTGCTTTGCTCTAATTATTTAAAATACTGAAATTATCTTAGAATCCATAATTCCATTCAACATCTTTATAATTCAAAAAAATAAGCGTTATACACCAAAAACATCACTTAATGTTGATGCGTGAGGTGAGAAATATCAAAAACAGATCAAAAAATAATTCGACGAGTAAATAGAAGCCAAAGTATTTATACTCGTCCATCCTAAGTAGTTACGAATTACGAACCATATGGTTTATATTGAAATGAAAGTATTTCTTTGTGTTTTTGAATGAGAAACACTGCTAGAACTAATAATCCGTTTATGATCAAAACTGAAGTTGATATTCGATTTCGTAAGCTAATTAAGTTGACAGCATTCCTCCTAGTTTCTTCTTCGCTCAGTTCCAACGGCTAAAATCTCAGCAACAAGAATTTTTATCCGTCAAATTACCCAAACTATTTTCAGATATTAGATGCTAAATTTGTATCATCAAAAACAACGACATATTTCTCTATATAAAGTACTTTATTTGATTAGTGGAAATGATATTGTAATTGAATCCAAAAAGTAGTAGGAAATGAAACAAATTCCACTCTCCATGCTTTATTGGTATTCCAATAAACCAAAGCCTTCAAAATGAGAGCCTTCAGAAAATTAAGCCATTGAAGATTATTTCGATCTTGTGGTATGAACAAAAGCTTGTAAAAGGTAGACTGTCACTCAAACACATTAGTAACTATCTGTATAAAAAACTATAAGTTAACTCAATGAAAAATTATTTCACTTCAAAAGTGCATACTTTCAGATACTGTTCAATCATACTACTCCAAAATTCATCCTCTGCTGGATTCAATCTCCCACGACTGCAAATTTGCAAATACTCCGCATCCATCCATAAATAGCGATTCATGTATTCTCTTGAAACTGTTTTCACAGGTGTTGATGATGATGATGATAAAACGACACTCTACCCATTAAAATTATCATTAAAGCGACATTGGATTACTGAATATTGAGTTTGAAGTTATTTTTAGAGGATCTAGCTTACTTTCTAGTGGAGCACGTGCTCTTCATTGCAGAGATGACGGCATAAACATGTTTTACTTTCATTAATTATGATGGTTTTCAGAAACTGCCAAATTTTTGAGGTAATATTATTACTGCAACCTTAAGTTCTTCAAGTTCCGTTTCCATATCAGCAACTCGCTTTCTGATCTCTACAACTTCAGCTGTAGCAGTAGTGGTAGAACTTTTTAACGGTAATGATTTCAAAAAATCATGAATTCTGAGAAGTCCAAATCGTTGAAATAGACTAGAGATTTTTGTGTTGCCAGCATTCTGAAATGCAACATCGTAAAATTATGTTTCACGTTAACAGCTGCCCATTACTAGCATATGATATTTAGGAGCATTCATACTATAGCAGTAGTGGATGACACTGCTTCTCGTGTTCCCCAATTTATCACATTTAAATTAATAAGCGAATAAAGTGCCATGAAGATATATGTACATGGAATCATCAGAAAAAATACCAGTCCTGAAAAAATTGCTCTCTATTACAGCGATTTTTTGAAAAGTATAGAAGTAGTAAGTATTTTCTCATTGATTTTAATTCATAACAGTTTCATGCTGACAGAATTCTAAAACTTCTTTAAAAATATTCACCGTAAAAAATATTATGGAATTCTTGTGGATGTAATAAAGCGGCAATAATGAATATGGCAATCATACAAAGCACAAATATTGGAGTCGGGGATAGAGCAGCTAAAAAAACCTTACTTAAATTAATTTGTTTTTGGAAGCAGAAGAAGAAATATCTTCTTTACAGAGAGACGATTATTACTTTCAATATTTTTCGAAAGATATGTTATTGCTTTTTTAAAGGAACTTACTTTCAAGGATTATTTGATTAGTTGTTGCAACCGCTACCGCAAGCATCACAAAACCATATATCACAGATACCATTTTTGCATACATAATTTGAAAGTTTGAGCTAGTGATAAAACAGATAGTAATAAAAATAAGCACAGGTATAGCATTACATAACATCATCCTGTCCGATGACACTTCAAATGTTGCTACCTAAATTTTCCATATATTCGGCTTGTCTTGCTTCTGAATCTTAAAATGGAAGCTTATTCCGAGATACTCATATGAGATAGCATATTGTTTCAATAATTTTTAGCAGATTATTTCGCTCCCCACGAAATATATCTTCAGACTGGATGGAGAATAATTCAAGCATGCTATTTTTTTTTTAATTTCTTTAAATTATTTCTTTAAATAAACAAATCAGCAAACATGTTCAAGAAAAAAATATTCATATGAGATAGCCAAAAAACTGATGTGGTGTAAATTAAGCATATGAACCTGAGCATAAACAATCATCGTGAAGACAATACTGGGGGTAAGCAAACTGAAGCCAATTACCAGTAACTGATACAAGATGTACGTTTTTGGTATACTATCATTGCTTTGACAAACACGCTGAAAACACTAGTGAAAAGACAAGAAATTACTAGAAAGAGGCCAGACAGTCAATTGATTACTTTGTAGGCCGCAAGTAAATCAATTGTGTTTGCTATGGATGAAGGTGTCCATCGACGACGCTGATTAAAAAATTCATGAAAACCTTCAGGTGCATATGTTTCAGCATCAGCAGCAGCAACATATTCAATTCTATAGCCTTGTTTGAGCAGCAAAGTTGATAACCATCGATCCTCACCCTGATAAATATTTGTACATGCTCGGAGGAAAGATGCACATATTTGGTCAAAAAACTTGGAAAACTTACTTGATCATATTGCACAAAATGGCGCGCTTCGCATGCAGTTTTGGTATATTTGTGCATTACATTATCATCCATTAATGCGGATGCACGAAAAAGGGAAAAGCAACCAGGAGCACAAAGTACACATCCAAAAACATGCTCTGCGGCTTTCTGGAACCAATGAGAGATAGCGTATTCAAATTTTTGGTACCATATCATCACACCTAAATATAACCTAACTTTGTCCCTTGCAAACTCTGACATCAAAGGAATAAATCAAAGCTGGTCTGAAATCTTCATCTTGAGAGTCAAAATTTGAAAAGAAACCTTCGCCAAGAGGATGAATACGTCCGCAAGCGCAACCAATTTCATTTTTCACATTCATTAGTCGCAATAATTTCATGACAGATGATGGTTCAAATTTTGAATCACCATCAATTGCTAGAATATATGTATTATCTGCTTCAAGTTGACGATCCTCTACACTCATATGAGAATCCATTATTCGATGACCCAGCAAGTAGTACATATACATTACCTGAAATCTGTTTTATTTCACTTACTCACTCTTCTTATTTCCTTCTAAATTATGAGTTGTTACCTGTGACCATCGTTTTTTGTGCCGAACTAATTTTTTATCTTTCAGATGAACAAATAATAATGTTCCTGCCGGTAAACGCAGCACCAAACGCCCGCCGTATGCGGTATTAACGAGTACGCGGTCTTTGGCCGTGCTGATTTCATCAGTTATTTCATTCCTATAGACAAATGTAATAACTTAATGATGATGTGATCACCTTATAAGGAAAAATTTTCTTTCAAAATTCAAAAAAATTGAAGCAAAATTGTTTGCGAGCTTACTGAGTTAACTCTAGCAAAAGTGAAAAAAAGGTTTTAAAAAAAGCATTAGGAGAGCGACCACATTCTACTTTATCTTCCCAGACATCATCGAAGAAAATATGAGCTGAAACTTTTTTCTTTGTGAGTAGGATGCAAGCAATATCTAAATATGATTTAAACAGAATATTTTTGTGTGCAAGTTAGTTACATCAATACCAACGGTGATTAAGTGATAATTGATTCTAACCTTCTAGGCGATATTTGATCTCATCAGGACGTCGTCTTCCTGTCAAAATAAGTGAGTGTTCCTTGTCAAGCCTTAAACACTTAGTCAGACAATTACTTGTTTAAATTCAATTCAAATGACAGAAGCAAGTACCTTATAATAGATTTCAACATTTGCATCATTTCTGTTGGAGTTTCATGCCACATTGTGGCGCAAATATAAAGCGTCACCGTTTTCTCAATTTCATCATTCGTAATGCGGAGGTCACCGGCATCATATTCTGTACCCTCCGAAAATCGATAGTCATCATTTAATCCCTTAAATGATAAAAAAAGATTTCAATTCAGTAACTGAGATATTCTGAAGAATTTAAGTGGGACAACTTCCTGATTTTAACACTTCTAACCTTTTTAATCAGCGAAACTCGATGTACTACTAATGACTGCTCAATAGTCAGCCCATTCAAGACACTTGTGATTGTATCGATTCTTAAATCATTTTAAATTATTTGCTTTTTCATTCTTTACGATCTTACACTTCATGCAATGCTGAAAAGAACTTGCATTTCGTCATCAGGATCAAATTTCGGTGCTTTAACATGCTGGTATGCCCACCATAAATATGTTGCCAACCAAATAACACCAAACCATATTTCAGGCAAAGAGTTCAATGATACGCTCCAAGCCAAACATTGCCATCGTAAACCATATTCCCATAAATATCTTCGAACTGAGCAAAAGGGGCTGATGAAACAAGTAACAGTGAAAGTCATCATAAGAAGTGGTACTACTGTAAAAAGAGGATGCAAAGCAGCCATAACTCTCATTGACATTGCTGATAGTAAACGAGAGATAAATCGTAGCAGAAAATTTAACAGGATGATCCACAGAGCAAGATTATACCTGAAAGAATGAAAACCATTTCCATGCTTGAATAATCCCATTAAATGGGCATTAAAAAAAAGAAAATATTTCATTTTACTGGGAAAAAGAAACACCAATCGGAATAACATTTACAAAGCAGAGGTTTTTCCTGAGCTCGATATGCTCTCCACTAATGATTTCTTTACAGCTGTGAATGGTAAGAAACGAAGTTTCACAATCCATACGATAGCGCTTGATACCAATATTCGTAATACTGATACTATTAGTCGGGTAACTGAACTCATTTTTCTCGTTCCAAATTTGAACTACAATAGCAAGCAGTGTCATTACAGTATGCTAGAAGAATTTATAGAAATTGATGAAACAATTTGCATAATATTTTGACTACAAAACTAGCAAACTATGAATTTCATTATCTTGATTATTTACTAAGTGCAGAGTTAGAACTTTAAAAAATTATTATCGACGCACTTGATGCAAATATCGATAACTTGACATTGAATGGCCATCGTTAATCCATAAATCCCAGAAGCCAAATGAAGATAAAATTAAGCCAAGAGGTAATGTGATAAATTTAAAAAAAGGTACCTCCATTACACTCCACAAATAGACAGAAGTAAAGATCATCAATAATAATATAGAATAACTACATGAACGTATCAGTAGTTTGAGTCTTATTCTTAGAGCCCTGTATTTGCGTTATCAGTGATAATACGAATAAGGCAACTTTTTTATTATGATAAATATATGGAGTTTCACAGTTTTGTAATGAATTTTTTAAGTATGAACTTACCAAGCTGAACTGAAAGACGTATGTATTAATTTTTTGATTTTGTGATATAACGGTAAAAATACAAGAGATACAGATAGAACCAAGCAATGTATTGGATCTAATGATGGGAAAACATGGAAAAATAAAATGGCTAAGCCTGCTGATCGACAACATTCCATGATGAATACCTGAACTTTAAAATATTAATTTCACAAGTGGAAAGATGCAAAGTGTCTACTTGTACTTACCATTAGTGGTGTATCCTTACGTTCTTTTGGATATCTATAGATCCTATAAAATGACTGAATGATTGCCATTATATCTGGAACATTCTGAATAAGCCATAAAGTGGAAATAACTGATACTGTTATTTCTGACCTTCTTACATTTCCTAAAAAGTGACGCTAAAAAAAACTGCCAATGTTATTTGGCACAGTAATATTTTTGTAGTAAATTTTCACAAATTAAAAATTAAGTCAGAAAGCATCCATTACTGAAGTGCTAAATTTTTATTTCCAGGCGTTTATATTAAATTTACTTTTGATATCGAACTTCTTTCACTCATAAAAAAAGCAAAGTAACTACTAAATAGGACTTATAATTCATGCATAAAAGTTAACCTTCCGAAGCATAACATTTTTCTCTGAAACGGCTAACGGAAGGTTTCAATTCAATGTTGGTAGCTAATAATATAACTACTAATTTCGATATTGCGGTTCCAAAAATGAGCAATAAGTGTGAAATTGAAAATACTAGAAACTGAAAAACTGCCAACAAACTTTGAACAAAGCTGTAAGTTCAAATAAAAAATTACAAAAGTTTTATCTAACCTTTCGACAATTTATATTTATATATCATCAGTTTCGATTTATTCAAAGGGTATTATTCTACACAAATTTGATAGGAAATATTCCTAGTAAGATTTATCAAATTAAAATTTTCACATAGCTTTCATTGCCAAAAATTAAATTTGCACTGTACTTTTAAAAAATAAATGAATTACAAAGTAATATAAATTATGCTGAACTAGAATAAATTTATAAGAATTGATTTACTTTGAGAATTTGCAGTGTTTTCACCATCCATGGAGTCAGTTCAGTGTTAAAATAATGTTCATGAGACTCTGATCGGAATACATCCCATCTCGACTTGAAGCCATCCCTTTTTGGAATCATTGTTAACATACCAAGAACATGCAAGTAATACATGATCAATTTTCTTCAGTATTGAAATTTAAATGGTTTTCAAAATAGTGGATTTTATGAAAGTGAATAAATGGAGCTCACGAAATACCGAAAATATTCTATTACTTTCTTCGAAATAATTAAACTCAAAGTGGAAAGAAGAAAACTACAAATCATTATTCTGAATGTAGATCTTAAAAATTCCATTGACTTTATTCATAAATTTTGCCTGAAATGTTGGCGCTCAAATGGTATCATAAAAGTAAAAGATACCTTTTGAATGTATTTTTTTATTTGTTAAATATAATACGGCAAATCATTCATCAGAAAAATTTGCTCTTTATAATAACACAGGAAACTATGATTGTAGATAATAATAAGATAGGTGCATTGTAATTGAGAGAAAAAAGGGAAAAAATCTTATCACATGTGCATTTTTTATCATGTACGTCTCATTAAATAATATTTAGTTTACTAATTTATTTTGGTTGAACCAAAATTTTCACAAAAATCTATGCCTTTTGCTAAACAGTTTTTTCATCCATTGAAACCATTTTGTAATTATTTCAAATTTCTTCCTGTCAACCTATTTAGTCTGAAATGGCGTAGCATATTGAACAACAAAATTCAAATGTACCAGAATAGAAGAATTTCGACGCTTCTTTTTGTAGCTATTTATTAGTGCTTCATAAGATTGGAGGACACGTGAATTAGCATTAACATCTGAAATTTTTCAAGAATAGTAGAGTGCCAGAGTTTGTGAAAAATCTTCAGAGATAAAAATGATGATGACCTATCTGTTATGACAATTACATTGTAACTGTTATTTAACTTTAGTCAGTAAATAATATTTCTTATCAGCTACACAAAGCAGCATGCTTTTTTATGGTTTACTCCAAAACATTTGTGCATATGTATTTGTGATGAAAATCTACTTCTTAATATGTTACGTTGATTTGAAACTTCATTTTTAAAGTAGCATGAAAATTGTAATGAGGTCAAGGGTATTTGTAGCAAGTGGTCCGTTTATCATCCCTCCCAGTGCTCTGTTCCACATTCATTCACTTTATAAAAATTTAAAAATCTCAACATTTTTTTTTCTTCTTTAACCTTATAGACTTGTTCTTGCTCTCCTTTATAACAACCAATACTATGAATAAACTATACTTATTTATATTTACATGATCATAAGTCAACAGGTCACTTACCAAACTTCTCAATATATACTTATTCAAAAATTCTCTATTCTAATGGATAGCTGTGTAAGTAAATTATAAATTATACGTGAATGAGAAAATCGAAATAAAACTGTAATGTGGCGTGAAAATTCCTGAGGAACTTGATTTCTTTTCTTGTTTACTGTGGTAATCGAAAAAAATTGTCTAGCACTCTTATTTAAGTATAAAAATAATGCCACCAAACTGATCATAGCAAACTGACGAAACATACATCCCCGTCTAAAGTTGGTTGTAGCAAAACATTTATATTCCTAATGTAGTTCCTTAATTACATGACGTTTACAGCCACTCCCTATTCAAGATACCCTCATTGTTTGTTATTTGCCATTATTTCTAATAGAAGCGAAATTCATAGCACTAAGCAAGATATGATAATCTTGAAATTATTATGCAATAGTTGATTTAGTCATAAAAAAATAAAAATGGTAGCAGTAAAGAACATTCGGTTACGTTACACCTTGTATAGGAAAAGCTAATTCTATAAATCCATCTTTGACTGAAAAAACTCTACGAATATTATGTCAGTGAAGCCCGATTCTTTTAATGTAATAAACCTCTCATTTTAGTCATAAAAATGAACAGCCTAGATTTATAAATTCATCACTACAGTGGTACTGATTACAATCTCAATATTTTTCCATAATTATTGAATCTTATTACCATCTATTCATGCAATATCTTAATTTTCAGAATTTGTTGCAAAAACCTTATCTTTGTAGTGAAATTTTTCTGTAATATTAAATTATGGAAATGATTAGATTTTTTGCTGCATTAGGAAAGTAAGTACATTGATCCAAAGCAGTTTTTGCTTTTTCAACTCTATATATTTATTGTTGGGATTTTACAGTAAACAAGTTTGTTTGATTCAAAAACTGATTTAAAACTGCTTTTTTATCGGATTCAAATTTGAACTTCCAAATAAAGTTAGCATCATTTCTGATCAGAAGTTTTCTCCACAGATCTCTTATCACCTCTAAATTCTGAAAATCTGTCGCTGTCCACTAGCTTGTTAATAAGCATTGAAGAAATTCAAAACTATCGGAAACATTGCAGCCCAAATGTAGTTAACTGTTTAAACGAGATATTGGTTACATTCACTAGAATTCCTTGACCTTGATAAATTGATTATGTAAAATGTAATGTGTAATGCAATGGTTTAAATCAAGAGTGGCAGAATTCGTTCGGAATAAAAAATATTGAGACAAAAACATCAAATTATTAGACTTACGGTTGATTTTTTAACTTAATTATCATGTAAAATATCTAATTTTTTGACGAACTGAATTTCCTGCAATTTTTTTGTGAAAATATTTACCATAACGCTGAAACAGTAAGAAAATCTAGAGATGATTTTCTGAATGTGCATCATAATTTACTGATTATTTCAGTTCAGTCTCAATATCAGTAAATTGCTCATTTAAAAATTTTCATTTTCATAGATTTTTATGCTCCATACCTTCACTAGAAGTTCAATAGTACTTTGTATTTTGAATCACTTGATAATTACTATCTAAATTTGCTTTGAAAAAGTTTGATCAGAAGTCGGATTTTAAAGCAGTAGTGAAACGAAAATAACGATGTGATTGAATATTTCGAAGACAGAAATATACTGGCATTTTCTTATTCCATTCAGTTATTAGTGACATAACATAATTATGTAAAGCATTCAATAATTCTTTTAGCTTGTTTAAAAAAATTATTTTTTGCCTTCATAATTAATTTTGATTTGATTTTTCATTGCTGTCATATATTTAAAACTGTTTTTATTTTTACTCATACTTCCAGTAATTAATTCTACTCTTTATTTGTATATGCTCAGGAATCAATAACAGTTAACAAATTTGAGCGTGCTGATACAAAAGCTGTAATCTGTGCTGACAATTGTTGCTTCATTTTACACAGTGCAGCAATAGAAGTTAGTGCTAAAATTGCTTTTTAAATGCAAATATTTATAGAAAATTCCACGCAGCCTTTAATAGTGAGGATAAAACTGGTTATATAAATAGATAAATAAATATAAATATAAATATAAATATAAATAAATAAATAAATAAATA